ACTCTGTTGAAGTTTAAAAAAATTGGATCTAATTTTTCCCAGTCGCTAATGTATGACCATGACAATTTATTATTTACTTATTTTTATTTATCCAGGCAAGTCCCATTATGACCGCAGATCTCTTTTTCAAGGGAAGCCTGGGCCTGAAGGCAACCATGTTTTTTGAGGGGTGGGGAAACCCACACAAGCACGAGGAGAACATGCAAACTCTGCCACAGAAAGACCCCAGGTCCGAACCAGGGACCAAACCCAAGACCTTCTTGCTGTGAGGCATAGGTGCTAACCACTGAGCCGTCGTGCTGCCAGAAAGCTATACGAAGAAGGAAATTGCGTGCACTGTAAACATCCGTACCCTACTGGTAAGACAGAAGTACCGAGCTGAACGAGACGGCTGAAAATGAGTGCTGCGGACTTTGCGAGACAAGTTTAATTCAGTTTGGAGGCCTTACATGGAMTGAAGGATTTCATTCACTTCCTCCGCTGCCCTTTGCTAAACTACAGGCAGAAAATCAACATCATCATTCACAACTCCTCCTTCTGTTTGCTGATTGGCCCGGTTGAAATTCYACAACAAATCCAAGTCAGTGGGAGAAAGCAGTCAGATCAGAGTAGGGAGATTAGAATCGAGTGGAATTGTGCAGGTAAGCACTGGCCAGGCTATTGTTGGGACCAATACCAACATTTTTAAAATTACTCTTACTTGTTTAAAATGCCCCGATAGATACTGATTTATTGTTAGGATCCTATAATATTTATGTTACCTTTATCAATAGTGAGTGTGTGAGTAGCTGCACCGTATGGAGTCAAATCTTTGTTGTATGCTGTTTTTACAAGGACAATAAAGCTTCTTCTACTTCTACTTTTTATTTTTAGGTGAGTTCAGTGTCAAAAAGGACAGATTTTTGTCTGCTTACTTTTAAACCAAATCCCAAAATACTATTCAGGGCAGTGTTTTAATTTTGTATTTCACACACATGGAAAAAAAAGATTTGTCTAATATGTTGATCAACTAATTATCTGCATGCCATTATTACTAACCAAAGTGTTCCTGCTTAAAGTGGTGCAGTGAACAGTCGGTCAGTATAAAATCATCTGTGGCAGCAGCTGGTCTGCAGTGTGTTGAGGTCCTACATTTAAGTGACCTATTGAACCAGTTTCAATTCTCYGGGGAGCGTGCCATATCTGCCCCCCGTTGCCCACTGCCAAGAAGCRAATGTGGCCATCGACCCAAATATTACCACCCAAATGATTCGCTTCACTCTCCTCGAACTCAATCGCTTTTCTATCCAGTCAAACTTTCATTTMTTTTTCTGTCTTTCTCACTTTTCCTCTCCTCGGTTTGCTCCTGGCTATTGGTCTGAGGCTGCGTTAAATATTCATAACCGGGGAGRGGAAGAAGCTGATGAGGAGGGCAAAGAATCACAAACTAAGAAAAAATATAAACCAGAATGGTACTGTGTGCAGTGCAGAATCAGAAAACACACTCATTTATAAAAAAATACACTTTCAGCCAAAGACAAAATTTTCCGCCAGTTAAAAATTTGTTGCCTGTTCCCTTTCTTTCTTTCTTTCTTTCTTTCTTTCTTTCTTTCTTTCTTTCTTTCTTTCTTTCTTTCTTTCTTTCTTTCTTTCTTTCTTTCTTTCTTTCTTTCTTTTTCTTTCTTTCTTTCTTTCGTTATTACAAATGTAGCAGTTTGAGTCCTCCGTGTTCTTTTGGCAATTCAGAAACTCAGAAAGGCACTTCATCACAGTGAAGTGTTTTTCTGGTGCTTATCTCATCCAAAGGCCAGGACTAAGCTGTTATTTCTTTTTACTTTGGATCGTACAGAGTTGTTTATCTTTCAAGAAAGATAAAAAATATAAGATAAGTGCACGATTGCATCTTCAGAGATTCGTACGCTGAGAAAAGCAATACAGAAAAGTGCAGCCAAGTGACTGAGTAGTTTAACCTGCAGATAGCCGAAGTTTGGGGTAAAGTTAATAATACAAGTTCCAAAGTTTTTAATGTTAGGATGACCCCAGAAGAAGCGATGACTTCAGTGCATACATATAAATTATTTATTTAGTATCCTACAACATTCAGTGGGGGTCTGGTGCATCCCATGCCACCTCACGTAAGCCTGTTCCTGGTGCTGCATCATGAATCACCCTMCTCTTTTTACCACACTTGGTTTGGAGCTCTCCTGTTGCAAACATAGTTGCTGCTTATTTACCCCTTTTGAGACATTTAGAACCAAATAGTTTSAGTTCRACMAACATAATGCAACAGGCAAAAGAAAAATTGCCCAAGTAAGAAAACATCAGAGGTTACGTGTGCATATGTGAGACTAAAATATGACATTATTTTATTGTGTTAAAAAGGTAAATGCAAAAATAGATGCACTTGCTCCAGGTTTCGTCATTCCACACGTCAGATACTTTTCTAGTTGAACCCCAAAGATTCATGTTGGCAGCCAAAAATATTTTTATGCAACATAACTAAAAATAAATCTCACTTGTACCCATTTTACGAAAGCAACATTTCTACATTTAGTTGCATCAGTAACAGTTGAGGGAAAACAAATGAACCCTGCAAGAATACTGACCAGGAGGGGAGTCCGTAAACTGTTAATCGACTCTGTGTTCACCTTGACTAATTTTGCAGCTAATTTGTTTCTCAGCTAATGTCTCTGATCGGTCATGAAATTGTTTTCTGAATGCGTCCGCTCCAACATTCGGCAGTTTGTGACAGAATAAGAAGAGGTTTGTTGTGAATTCTAAACAATAAATTATGCTCAAACTGGCACTTTTTTTC